ATGTGATTTGTCAAAAAGAACAACAAATAGTACAGTGGTAAAACTAATGAGTTTTCCAATTTAATTTAGTTGCCTTTTCAGTTCAGTGGGAAATGCTGTGTTATCTGGGAAATGGAATTTAAAGCCAAAAGGTATGCAGCAGCATAGTTTACTTATCAGTTGAACAAAAACTTTAGTTGTTAAGATACAGTGTTCATCAGTGTATGACACAAATCAGAATACCATATATTGTTGACATAAATGTAAATGGGCAAAGCCTCTTTGGAAAGCAATAGGTAGTGTCTATTATTATATTTCTTTCAACAAACATATTCTGCTTCTGTGGCAGTGTGTTACAGAAATAGGCACACGTGTATCTCTAGATATACATAAATATTTTAAAATCTTTTAAACGGATACACATATGAATTCATGTATACATGTATGAATAATATACTTAGATAAAATAAATCAATAATGAACTTATTAAAAGGAAGGCTGGAAGAAAGGAAAAAAGAAGGGGAATGATTATATTATAGCTGTGATATAGTATATCTTGAGAGATAAGCCCTAAAATGTCAGGGAAGCATAGTTACTCTCGAGTAGCTTTGCCTCTATAAAAATGCCCGTTTCTTCATACACTATACTAATGACCACAGTTAAAAAGCTAAGCTGTTCTTCAAGGTTTGCCAAGTATGATAAAACTGTGAGTGTGGAAGCACTTTGGTTATATTAGATTCTTACTATGCTATCTGTAAATTTGGAAAACTCAGCGGTGGTCACAGGACAGGAAAAGGTCACTTTTCATCCCAATCCCAAAGAAAGGCAATGCCAAAGAATGCTCCAACTACCGCATAATTGCACCCATCTCACAGGCTACTAAAGTAAAGCTCAAAATTCTCCAAGCCAGGCTTCAACAATACGTGAACCATGAACTTCCGAAAGTTCAAGCTGGTTTAAGAAAAGGCAGAGGAACCAGAGATCAAATTGCCAACATCCACTGGATCATCAAAAAAGCAAGAGAGTTCCAGAAAAACATCTATTTCTGCTTTATTGACTATGCCAAAGCCTTTTACTGTGTGGATCACAATAAAATGTGGAAAACTCTGAAAAGAGATGGGAATATCAAATCACCTGACCTGCCTCTTGAGAAATCTGTATGCAGATCAGGAAGCAACAGTTAGACCTGGACATGGAACAACACACTGTTTCCAAATAGAAAAAGGTGTACATCAAGGCTGTATATTGTCATCCTGCTTATTTAACTTATATGCAGTGTACATCATGAGAAACGCTGGGCTGGCTGAAGCACAAGTTGGAATCAAGATTGCCGGGAGAAATATCAATAATGTCAGATATGCAGATAACACCACCCTTATGGCAGAAAGTGAAGAAAAACTAAAGAGCCTCTTGATGAAAGTGAAAGAGGAGAATGAAAAAGTTGGCTTAAAGCTCAACATTCAGAAAACAAACATCATGGCATCCGGTCCCATTACTTCATGGCAAATAGATGGGGAAACAGTGGAAACAATGGCTGACTTTATTTTGGGGGGCTACAAAATCAATGCAGATGGTGACTGTAGCAATGAAATTAAAAGACGCTTACTCCTTTGGAGAAAAGTTATGGCCAATGTAGACAGCATATTAAAAAGCAGAGATATTACTTTTCCAACAAAGGTCCGTCTAGTAAAGGCTATGGTTTGTTTTTGTTTTTGTTTTTTTTTACTTTTTCTTTTTTATCCATTTATTTTTATTAGGGGGGATCGGGATGGGGAATACATGTAAATCTATGGCTGATTCATGTCAATGTATGACAAAAACCACTACAATATTGTAAAGTAATTAGCCTCCAACTAGTCAAGGCTATGGTTTTTCCAATATTCATGTATGGATGTGAGAGCTGGACTATAAAGAAAGTTGAGTGCTGAAGAATTGATGCTTTTGAATTGTGATGTTGGAGAAGACTCTTGACAGTTCCTTGGACTCAAGGAGATCCAACCAGTCCATCCTAAAGGAAATCAGTCCTGAATATTCATTGGAAGGACTGATGTTGAAGCTGAAACTCCAATACTTTGGCCACCTGATGTGAAGAACTGACTCATTTGAAAAGATCTTGATGCTAGGAAAGATTGAAGACTGGAGAAGAAGGGGACAACAGAGGATGAGATGGTTGGATGGCATTACTGACTCAATGGACATGAGTTTGAATAAACTCCTGGAGTTGGTGATGGACAGGGATGCCCAGCGTGCTGTAGTCCATGGGGTCGCAGAGTTAAACATAACTGAGCTACTGAACTGAACTGATGCTATCTGCCCTTTTCTGGCCAAAGCAAGGGTTCCAAGATGAGGATCAGATTATCCTAACATTGACACCAGTCTATGCAAGGAGCTAGCATGCTTATGTTTTGGACTTTTCAGTTATGCTATGCAATCTGATGCAGTAAATGTTGGTTCCCTGCTAATATTTTGGAAATCACCACAGGAACTAAGGGGGAAGAGACTACTGTACATTACTGATGGATACGGTCAAAGTAGCACAATTTTATTTCCAATAATACAAAAATCTTAATGTTTTTGAAGAAATTTCTTTATAAATAAATGGGTCACAGTTTGCATCATTATGTAGCAATGTTTTTTAAAAAAATAACTCCAGATTTAGGTCTTAAAGATGTATATAAGTCAAGTGTTTCCAAGAGAAACAGGACCCAAAGGATTTGCCTATATAGAAATAAATTATTTTAAGGAATTGGATTGTGCATTTATAGATACTGGCACATCCAAAATCTGCAGGGCAGGCTGGCAGGCTGGAAACTTATCAAATGCTTTAGTTGAAGTCTTAAGACTGTATACTGCCAAAGTCCCTCTTGCTAAAGAAGAGGTCAGTCTTTTGTTCAGTAAAAGCCTGCAACTTATTGGATGAGGCCCATCCACATTATGGTAAATAATCTACTTTACTCATAGTCCACCAATTCATGTTCATCTCTTTCAAAAACCCTCTCACAGAAACATTTATATTGTTTTGATTGACATTTGGGTTCTGTGGCCCAGTCAAGCTGTCAGGTAAATTTAAACATCACACAAAATAAAATTAACTTATAATCTTTCTACTTTCTCAAACTCAGTAGAGAATCCATGCATAGAAAAATATAAAACTGAGACCATAATGCATTTATTTAGCATATAAGTTTAAAATAACATTTTATTTTTGTTTGCTCTAAAATGATGTAAAGAAAGTCTTGACTAGGGGCACCATGAGAGAATTTTTTGCAGATATAAGAAAATCATATAAATGATTATATGTTGCATGTTCAAATATGTATGTGTTTTTGTACGAAAACAATATTCACATATTTTCTTCAGTCGGTGCTACAAACTAATTTAAAATACAGCTCTAAATGCATAGTTGCTGGCTACTGTGAATAACAACAACAACAAAACAGAGCTAAGTAGTAAAGATGAGGTTTAGTGGTATTACACACAATCAGTTGGTGGATTTCATAACCTATTTTGAACTTGTGTTTGCAGTAGAATGGTAAAAAGGTATAGGTATAGTAGAAAAAGGTATTATTTATAGTATAAGTCAAGTCCTACATTTTACACAGGGGGAAACTTACCACAGACTATAAGTACTTTCTCTCTTCATAAACTTTTCATTGACAGAATAAGAACTAGTATGTAAATCTACTCATACTAACCTCTGGCTGCAGAAATACATGACAGTCACCTAGGTACCCAAATATGAGAATCATAATCTTTACAGGCTTTCCTTATTTGAATTATATTTTCTATACAGACAATGAAACTGTACAGAAATTAAGTCCAGTTTTACAATATCCCAATTACTTTCCTTTCCTTTTTTATTAATGCGATTCATTATGATAGATGTAATTTTACTATTTCAAATGAATGTCTTACCTTTGCATATAATATACATGTATACAATTCTACAAATAATTTTTTGTGATTTCTTTATATTTCCATACGTAAATATAATGTGCAGTGTGCTTTTACCACTCAAAAATTATGTTTCTCATATACCAATATAGATTTTTAATCAATATTATTAATTTTAATCATGACATTGTATTATAGATACAATTTACCTATTTTCCTATTTTTTGGGATTCATTCTTATAAACAATGATGCTATAAACCTTCATATGCCATTTTAATTTTGCAAAGTAACTACAAAATGTCCATAGTGGTATGCTTTGAACCCTTCTCTGTATCCTTTTGTGTATCTACTGTTGGGTTTCGTTGTTGTTTTTTACAGTTATCATGGGGCTTATCTTCATCATCTAACAGGATATAACAGTGTATTTTAATCTGATACAACTGAACTTTCATCACCGGCAAACACTCTACACATTTATTCCTGTTCTGTTATGTATTTTTTATATACATGTATCTTTTTGTATTGTGTATCTATTAACAAATTATTGTGGGTATAATTATTTTCAGTACTTTTGTGCAGAAAACTTTTTAAACTCCAGTTAAGTGACTAACCCACCACCGTATTATAATATTAGTATGGTCTGAATTTGACTGTAACTGACCTTGAGCGGTATGCTGCAGGTGGTCCTGCATCCTGGGTCCACAGGGACCCACCAGGTGCCGGGGCGCTGGGTGAACCTGCCATCTGGATCCGGCCGACTGGATACAAGGCCAGGCCGCGGTCTGGTTTTTCGGCTCCTGCAATATGTCTGGGGCCACTGGCGCCACCAGGGCTGGCCAGGTGGTCAGCAAATCTGGAACGTGGGGCCCGGATGTTAGCCTGCGGGCAGTCAGGCACTGAAGCGGCCTTGGAGCCCTGGCTGTGGGGTCTGTGCGAGGTCAGGACGGGCCTCTCCTGGAGAAACCTGGGGTCTGGTTGGTGGGAACCGTGTAGAGTCAAAGTTCTTGGGGGGCAGCCGGGCCCCGGGGTGCATCTGGGCCCTGGAGCCCTGGGAGCGGCCCGGTGCTGAGGTGGGTTGAAAGCCCGAGTTTGCAGTCGTGACCTGACTGAGGTGTGGGGCCGGCTCATGAGCCAGAGTTTGGCGGCTGAAGCTGAGGCCATAGACGCCCCCCAGGGCTGTGGGAGCCCTCCAGGTTCAGAACTGGGAGGTCCCGGGGAGCCCCGTGTTGCGGGGGCGTCGGGTCGGCCGTGGGAGCCGGCAGGTACTGTGGTCAGCCCCGCGCCAGAGCAGCCGGGGCCACGGGAATCCTGGCGCACAGTGGGCCCGTGGCCGGGGACAGCAGGCGTGTGCCGGGAGGGCGGTGTCCTGAGGCGCTGAGGTGAGTCGGGGGCTGCGCGCGCTGCCCGCTGGGAGCTGGGCTCACAGAGGCCGCCGGGGCGCCCGCCGCGGTATACCCGACCTGAGGGCGCCGGGGTGCAGCGCTGGCTTTGGAGGCCTTGTCAGGAGCCGCGTGCCCGGAGAGCTGCCCAGGAGCAGGGCTTCCGGGAGCCCTTAGGGGCCATCTAGGGGCCAAGCTGGGTTACTCACTTCACTCTCCGGTTTGGGGGAAGCGTGATGGAGGGGTGGAGTGTGAATCTGTCTCTCTTATCATCTTCAATGGCATCTTTTCTTAAATTTGTGCTTCACGCAGGTGCTGTCATCCGTCAACTGAAGTATTTGGCTCTTGTGAAGGTATTTTCCTGCACAGTTGTTCAAACTGATGTTGCTGAGGGGACGAATGTTAGAAATTCCTAGGCTGCTAGTTTGCTGACGTCACTTCTCCCCTCATTTATATTATACACTACTTCTATAATTCAGCTTTTGATAAGCAGTTTTCTTCTTTGGGGTGGGGTTGGGGGGAGGGAGAAGGACTGTTGAATAGTGCCACCGTGAACATTAACAAATATATCGGTATTCTGTAGGAATGCTCTTATGGAGCCAAAAGATAAGCATAAGCTCAGTTTTAGAAGTCGTTTTCAGAGTCATTTTCAAATTTACAGTCTCACCAGCAATGCATCATAATAAATTGTATTTCCATATTGCTGCTAACACCTGGAACCGGCAGTTATTTTCATTTTAGTCATTCTTGCATTTGTAGCATTTTTTGATGACTGATGAAGTTGAACATCTTTAAATATGTTTATTGCTCATTTAAATATTTTCTTATATGAAGTATTGTTTTAAGTATCTGGGCTTTCTTTTTTTTTTTCTATTGGGTCATCTTTCTTTATTCATTTGTGCATTTAAAAAAAAGATCTAAGTACAATGATTATCTTCTAATTTCGTAGGTGATCTTTATACTTTCTTAATTGTGACTTTTGAAGGATAGATATTCTTAATTATATTGCAATCCATTTATTTTTCCTGTTACAGTCAGTGCTTATTGCAACATGTTTGAAAAAGAAACCTATCCTACTTGCGTATCATAAAGATATCTTCCTACCCCATCTAAAATGGTTATTGTTTTAATCTTTATTATCATATGTGCAATCATTCTCAATGTACCCAAAAATAAAATTTAAATGTATATGACGTAAAAAATTATGGATACATTTGTGCATGCTAAGTCGCTTCAGTCGTGTCCGTCTCTTTGTGACCCTATGAACTGTAGCCCATCAGGCTCCTGTGTCCTTGAGATTCTCCAGGTAAGTATACTGGAGTGGGTTGCCATGCCCTCCTCCAGGGGATCTTCCGGACCCAGGGATCAAACCTGTGTCTCTTATGTCTCCTGCATTGACAGGCAGATTCTTTACTACTAGTGCCACTGATACTAGTGCCATTAGCTGCTAAAATTAGCCAAAAAATGAATAAAAATATAAAATGTCTGAAAAAATGTTTAACAAATTTGACCTAATAGGTATTTGTAGAACACTTTATACAAAACTGTAGTATCCACATTCTTTTCAAGTGTACATGGGATATTTAGTAAGTTGACCATACACTGAACCATAAGGAAAATGACCAACAATTTAAAAACATTAAAATCATTTGTGTTTTTGCTGACCTTAGTGGATCTAATCTAAAAATTAGCAATAAATAGATAAGGGGGAAAGGGTATGTACACTAATAAATAGTCAGAGTCAAATGATAAGGTTGACATTTAACAAATATTTGAACATAATAAACTATCACAAATGCTCTCTCTCAGAAGACAGGTATAGTGCTGATTAGAGGGAAATTGGTAACCTTACATATATGCATGAGAAAAGATGATAGGAAGACAAGAGTTAATAATATTTCACTTAAGGAAGCTAGGGAAATACTAGGAAAATCAAATGTAAAGAAAAAAGAAGATAAATAATCAAATCTGGAGCTGAAATCAATGAGAGAGAAAACAAACATGCAGTATAGCAAATCAACAAACTTAAAAGCAGCTCATTGAAAAAGTTTATTTAATTAATAAACTTAGAGTAATATGGTAAAAATAAAAAAAGTAAATAAAATTACCAATATTGTTAATAAAAGAGGAATATCACACTGTATCTTCTATATATCCATAAAGTAGCAAGTGAATATTGTAAACAACATTACATTTTATAATTTGGATAAAGTAGATCTATTTCTCTAAATGATTATATTACCAAGTATGACTGAAAAAGAATGGCAAACTATGAAGAATCTGGTTTCATTTTTAAGGATTACAAATCCATTTTATAAAACTTTCTAAAAAAAGGAAGACCAGTGATATGATGACCTCAGTGATGAATTTTTCCAAACACTTAAGGATGGAATAGCACTAGTCTTATGCAAATTCTTTAAGTATAGAAAAAAGTTAGCCATTCTCATTTTTCCAGGATAGTCAAACTTTACTCAAAACAAACTTGGCAATCTAATTTACATAAAAATGTATTTTTTAGTTTTGAAAATTTGACTTGACGTTCTATCTTGTGTAATTTTTGTTTTATAATTTCTACCTTAACTGTAGCTGAATCCTCTTTATTGTCCCTACTATTGTTTATTTTATTATCTCTCCTTTTACTCGATTAGTCACTTTTATTTTATACTTAGAAACACAGTAAATATTAGAGGCAACAGGGAAATGATCTTATAACTATTTTGAAAGAGAACATGAGTGTATCTAAACTGAAAGAGAAGGAAGTAATCCCTTCATTTGTGAAGAGTATCATTTGTGCATGTACTTTATGGACAGCAAAGTTCATACTGTGGAAGTCCATCTACCTAGAATTCAATGCTGGTCCCTAATTAACTTCCAAATATTCAGTTTATTCATTTATAGAATGTTAAGAGCTGACTTCTATTACTCATAATTATTATGAAGAAAATTAAGTGACTGTAAATTCCATAGACTAAAGTTGACTTTGATATGTCCTCGGTATTATTTATTTTAAAATGATACCTTTATTGGTAGAAGATGTGCAGGCCGAGTTTAAGCACAGATTCAGAAAGATCTTTGTATCTCTGTAATTAAGTGCTGTGCAAAATTACTCAACCTGTAAGGGGCTCTGGGTCCAATTTCTCTGGAATGTATTAATAGATGCTTCCCAGTGAGGCAAAGATTTGAAAGACTGTGGGCAATGACTAGTTTTGAGACAAAAGGGATTTTATCATTATTACCAGTTATGCATTGAGAGTAAAGGTCCTCTGTGTGACTGAGGGCCTCTAGCATATGAATTCCTAGAGGAGTTCAGCAGTTTCAAGATTGACGGTTGTCAATGCCTGGTGGTGGTGGTTTAGTCCCTGTGTAGTGTCCAACTGTCACTATCCCATGGACTGTAGGCTGTCGGCCTCCTCTGGCCTTGGGATTCTCCAGGCAAGATTACTGGACTGGGTTGCCATTTCCTTCTCCAGGGGATCATCCCAACCCATGAACCGAACCTGGGTCTCCTGCACTGCAGGCAAATTCTTTCCTGACTGAGGTACAAGGGAAACCATGTCACAGGGAAGAAAAAGGCTAAGATGATGCTTTGAATAGGTTCCCACCTAACAATGGAGTTTCTGCTGGTTCTTCGAATTTTTATAAAGAATGAATTGAAGACTCTATTTGAGTCTTGCTCAAATAGAAGCCTGAAAATCCTTCTATTTGAGCAATACTTAACAATAATCCAGAATAACAACATATAGATGCATAGTATGGTGACAAATATGCACACAAACTTGCATAAATGTTGTAGAATTTTGTTTCTTCTTAAGTTTCTTAAACCTCAGGACACTAGAGTTTGTGGGAGGACACTTTAACTTATTATTCAAGTCTTTTTGGGTTTTAAAGTCTCTTTTTTTTTTTTTCTGGCCAATAAACATGTCTCTTGAGGAACTTTCTATTTTGTTTTTGTTTCTGTTTTATTTATTTATTTTTTATGGTATATATTGGATAAAAGGCTTGTATGATTTTGTAACTGGGAAGGAATGCTGTCATTTGAATTCTGGTTTATTCATTGTCATCTGTGTAGACCTGTATCCCCACTGCAGGACAGTCTGGTCAGACCACAGGGTATTTTCATTTTTGTTTTCCAAAGAGAAAAAAGTTAAGTTGTTGCTGTCCTTAGATTCAGGAAAGTTATTTGGTCCTCCCTTGTTGGCATACTTCACCTGCAGACTTCCTGAGTACACACATTTCATCTTGTCTTTGGATTAAAACTGGCCATTTATTAACCTTGGTTATCTGTTTCTATTGCCCCTCTCCAGATAGCTCTCAGTAGGACATTGGCCTTCAATTCAGTGACTGACCTTCTTCATTACTCACAGAAATATATTATTTTTGTATTCACGAAATACCAGAAAAACATTTATTAAGATTTAATCTACTGACATTCATTTTTCTCTGTCTACCCATGTAGTACAGCTCTTTTTACTTTGCTGCATTTATGCTTTTGTCATAAGTTCACCCTGATTGACACTAAAATATTTTTAGAGTTTCAGTTACCTTAACACTTATCTGCCTCAGAATTTAAGTCTGCTGGTTATGTAGCCAAAACACAATCAGTCTATTACTGTGTGCTTCTCTCCTGATTCATATAATTTTCTGCACTCTCAACTCAGAAGAAAAAAAGGCAGAATTTTCTCACTTCTTGAGAAAATAAAGGCTAATTTTTAATTATATATTGAGGTCTCTCTACCAATGGTATATGATAATGCTGAACATTAAAATAGGCCTGGCTTTTAGAGCGCTGAAATATTTCATTTTTTTTAAATAGCTATTTTCAACAATATATGACCATCAGTGCTTCCCATGTTTTGTAGGGCTATACTATCAAATAAAATAATCACTGGTCACAGTGGCTGGACTTCCCAGGTGGCTCAGTGGTAAAGAATTGCCTGCCAGTGCAGGAGATTCTAGTTCAGTCCCTGCGTCAGGAAGATCTCCTGGAAAAAAGTGGCAA